GAGCATGTGTTGCAGTTACAATATTTGACAAAGAAAGCCAAATGTAAAAATGTAGACTTCACAATGTACGGACCTGTATTTTAAAAAATAATTATATATAATTATGTGTTGTATATACTTATTAATTTCAGAAAGTTTTGTATTACTTCTTATTTAATCGTTAATTCCTTTATTTCATTTTTCTATACTCTGATTTACTATTATTTTGAATCAAATAAGTTCAGTACACCATTACAGTAGTATTTGAACTATATATTCATATTATTCATTTTCTTCCCTTTTACATTATTTATTAAGCTGTTTGTTCTATTCTAATTGTACCAAAACCATAGCCAATTAAAGGGCTTTTACATCGTTCCTATCGAAGAATTAGCCGACTTTGTATAGCTATAAATAGAAACCCAGGGCTGTAGAGCGGTGCAGTCTGTGTACCGAGTAAGGACCAGAGAGAGAGAGAGAGAGAGAGAGAGAGATAAACCAGAAACCGGAGCTAAGAGAGGGCTGTGGAGTTCATTCGACTCAACCTGTATCTCGTGTATGGGGAAACGATTTCCATACTTCATTTATCCTCTCCATAGTTGTTTGCTTTCTTATTGTTGTCTTGGATTAGCTACTGTTATCCAAAACTAGTTTATATGCAAGCTTCGTAAGCAAGTGTGTGTATTTATGCAAAACCAGTTTTATATGAAGAACCAAAATATGCATACGCTTAAACCCTATTTTGGCACGTAAGAACTGGTATGCTTATTTGGGTATTGTTTCCTATTGGCTATATATATATTGTTATAAAAGATGATATTCAAAAGGCTGCACATATGATATCAGTTTACCAGTTGTTGGGATACTATCTTTTATAAATTGGTTTCACAAATGGAATTCGGTTGGAGATTTCTATTTTCCCAAAACAGCAACCATACTTTTATGCTATTTGAAATGAACATTCTATTGCATAATACAAAGAGTTTAATATACGAACTTTTTAGATATCATTCATAATACTAACGGATTAGTGCTTTTATCTAATATAGCTTGGCTGAAGTATGTTAATGTACTTATGTATTTTGAACTTTACCTTTGCTTATTTTATAAAAGTATTCTAGTTCAAAAGTTCCTTCACTGATGACCATGCTATTATAAATTAACGAAATGACTTTTGAATTAGTAGTGTGTAATTAGCAAGCTTAAGCATGCTGACTATGTTAAAGTTCATGTCATGTTTTATAGTAATTGCTTACACTTGTGGATAGGAGTTGCTGAAGGTAGACTCTTGTAGTAGAGAGTCAGAGCAATGCTTTGAAATCTAGGTAGGGGAAATACGGCAGACCTTTACGGAAATTGATTTTATTAATTTCGTGAAGCATTATATTATTATTATCGATCTTTTTGGTTGATTAATGTGATTGGATAATAATTGGCTAACTGCTTTAGTTAAGTGTTTACTTGTTCTTGGTTATGGAATTATTGCTAGAATGTTATTCATTGAGAATACATTGTAATACATGTGAAAGATAAAATGACATCATTTTTGCATCATTCATGTTGATGTGGTTGGAATCTCAGTATTTAGATTGGAAGTATGGAAATGAGGGTAGTTGGAAAGGATCTTTTGTGTAGTTGAATCTTTGTGAAACCAGTTCTAGGCGAGCCCAATGTGCATAGTAGAATAGGATATCAACGAGAATTGTCGATATGGGTGATTTGGGCTAGAGATCAATGAATTAGATAAGATGACTAGCAAAATGGGTTTATGAACTTGGGATATCATATGGGGGTTAGTTTCTATAATAGAACATTCGAACCAGCTCTGCAGGGGTAAAATGCATGGTATGGGACGTGCATGTCTGCATGTTTTATTATATAAATTAACGGGGGTAATTGAAGAGGTTGCATTGAATTCATGCATTATTAGCAAGAATGATTTGATATTTGGCAATATGATTTCAAGACACTTAATTTAATATTGTCAATTACTGTGATAAGGTTATGTTCCTACTGAGCTGTTGAAGCTCACCTTTCCATTTTTATGCAGGTTTAAGAACTAAACAGTAAAAAAGGGTAGACGGGATGAGATTGGATAAGTGTTAGGATATAATTTTGTATTTATTTATTTATTTTAGTATTGTAAAGAATTATCGATTTCTTGTTATAAAAGGAATTTCATATTTTTCCACTCAGTTTCACTTTCCTTCAATTTAATTTTAATTTTAGCTCGCGTGCCAAATTTGGGTTCGAGATTTTTCCTATTGACTCCAGGTCTGGGGTGTGACACACAATCTCCCCCTTTGACTTTCATTAACAAAATAACCCAAACCTATAACTAATTTGACTCACCCATACTCAAGAGAAGGAACAAGGACAGATCCTACAAATGAACAATTCTTGACAAGAACAAGTGAAATTTATCATGGGTAATAATGAGAAGCTTGCAAGGTGTATGAACACAACGACACAACAGAAAAGGAAGATGTCCCATGTACAAATAGTTTTGTGCAAAGGCATAAACCAATGTACCCAAACAATCGAAGATGACTCATTAAAAAGATAGAGATCAAGATAACAATTGTAATCTTTGCACGAATAAACGACAACTAAAGCACATGCCATGAAAAGGATAAGAAAAAGTAGATTGAATATCGATACTTCCAAGAGATATTGATAAGACAAGTGGTTGACAAAAAAACATGTAATGCAATTCTCAAAAGACCACTCTTCAAGGGCATACAGAGATAGTAATCAGAGATGAACACTTACTCATGATGCAACAGTGATGCGTCAAGATAATGATATAGGATCGGTGGTAACCAAGCCTTTTAATTTGAAAAGCATTTTCAAAGTTAACCAAGCCTTTTAATAATCCATTGACCTTAAGAGACAACACTTCCTACATAATATGAACAAAGGACAAGACTTTAAAATGCAAGACACAAGCCATGGAAGAAAAGAGAAATTTGGTGAAGAACGTTGAGTGAGGCACCATTTTGAGAGACACCAAGGTCATTTGAATGAAGGTGCAATTTTTATGAGACACCACTTGATTTTTCATAAAATTGGATTCATGACTTGGGGATGGGGTCTAGAAGCACTACACATGACATTGCATGGAAGACCAAATTGAAGGGATTTTCCCATTTTTGATGGTATATGATTTCTTTTGAAGACACCCCCCTTCATACAGCTTTCTCCCATTGTTTTTTATTTGATTTGGAGAAGGACAAAAAGAAAATGAGAACTGACACATGGTTCAGATTATAGAGTAAGTAAAGTCATTACCATTCAATTAGGACCAAAGAAAATTTAAATCTAAAAATCACTTGTAGTTTTGGATGATTGAGAAAATGATTTTTTAGAAGCCATTTGAGAGAATAGGGAGAACTTTTGACATCATAGTGAATAATTATCCAAGGTTAATCCACGTATTACTAACAATGTATGACAATTAAGAGATGCATATATAGAGAAAAATGAAACTAAAACATGCACAGAGACTAGACAAGATATTCAATTCTTGGAAGCAAAGCTGTACAACGTATATAATTCACAGCACAAAGACCAATAGACCGTCAAAGATATTTGTACCTTCGATTATCTTTGTACCTGAAATAGACAAAAAAACAAGTGTATTAGTTTAAAGGGTAAATCTCATTCTTAAGTATCAGGGTTTTCAAATTTTCATATATCAACTTTTTTTTGTCCCAGTGTCATACCTAAAGTGAGGATTGTGAGATACTTTTGTACTTATGTTCGGCTTTCCGTTAGAACCTCCTTTAAGGTGTGACGTGGCACCCAAATAGACAACGACTGGGCACGTGTCAATCTGGTGTCACATGGACATTAAAAATTAAAAAAAAAATAAAAAAATTAAAGAATGGAGTTGCAGTAGTCTAGATTGTGAGGGCTAACGCCGCTGACCTTCAATCCATCCGAATCCTAGAATTCTTAATTTTAATTGCGATTCTTTCGTCTTCATATATTCGGTCGATCAATGACACCGCCGATTGCACTCTTCCGTCGTCAATCCGTTGAGTCTTTCGACTTCTTCTCTGATTCTCTTCTTAACCATATGATCGGTACCTCTTTAGATTGTATTTTCTGAACCCAGAATCATAAAACAATCGAAAAGCTTTAATTTTCTAAATTTAAAAAGAAGGAAACAATCAATGGGTTCGATGAAAAGGAGACTGGTTGAACCAGAGAAGAGTTTTCTCCATTTGGAATTCGAGTGGGTTTGAGGGCAGATGCTTGAGAGTGGCGGATTCGGGTCGGTTTATTTGGCGGCCGTGCAAAAAATGAAGTTAAGTTGCGAGAGCTTTCTGAAGGTGATGGCGGAGAAATGGGTTTGAGAGAGGAAATTTGGAAAAATAATCAAAATTTGAACATCATATAGAATTATGGCCACATTTTTAAGTTTATAATCATTATAACAAAAAAATAATATGAAAGTGCTAATATACACTTAAATGAGGTTTTGAGAAGAACCAAAACACAAAATTGAATAAAGGGTAATGCTAGGGATTAGGAAGACTAAATTTTGTAAACCAAATAATTTGGTTGTTGATGATTAAATTATTAATTAAGTGTGGATTAACGTATTTATTTCTTATTGGTGACGCATTATTTGATTCTCAAATTTTGTTTAAATGGTCTCCCTAACATTATCCTAAAACTAGCCTCTTCGCACGCACTAACGTGGGTGCGAGAGGCATTTTTGCATCACGGGCGCTATGCGCCCCTAAAGGTGTATTGTGTATTTTTTTTTTCCATTGTAATTGTCAAGATATATTTTACATGTATTGTGCAAAGAGGAACTTTTTCTTTACCATGCACGTCCTAAAAAGTTGTCATGTTTTTCGTTTTCACTTTGCGTAAAGTAATGATTTCAATGTTATTCATGCAATTGTCAAACAACATGGGATTTTGGATTCAAGTTCCTACATAAAGTCCATGAACAATAGTAAGTAGATGTAAATAAAAAAAGAGTAGATAAAAACATTACGTACTCATAGAAAAACACAAAACAACTTAAATGTCAAAATATAAAACCTACATCACAATATGTACATTATTCACAATACCCATAAAGTCTATATTGCACTATTTCTTTTGAAAAGAAAGTTTACATATTGACATCAATGCTGCAATTTCCACCCATTTGTTCCTGATTGATGCTTCAAATTTTCATTGCCAATCTACAAACGATAGTGAGAAATTAAAAATCAAATAAAAAGAGTTAATTGATAAGTGAGAAATGCATACTAGACAGTTATCGTTAATAAAATTGTTACCTATTAGGAATCACCATAATTAGCTGGAATGAAGCAAGACTTCTTTGTATACTATAATTAGCTGGAAAAAGATCCGCATGTGATAGGCATTTTCTTTAATCACGGATGCTACGCTCCTCTTAAGATGTGTTGTGTTAGTTGTTTTCTTTCTCATACCACTTCATAAAAATAAAATAGAACACACACTTATAAATAAAAAGGAAATAGAACATAACTAAGTTGTGTGTAAAATGCGTAATAAACAAAAAGCTCTTTGCATGCAAAAACACGTTTGAAGATGTTGACGAAGAATAAAGGAAGAAATACAGCAAGGAACCAAATAATAGTGTTTGATAAAAAAGCTAAACAATTAATTGATGACAATAAGCTGAGCAAGAATTTATTTGTATCATCTTGTCCTTAAAATACCACAAAATACAGCTCACTTAAATCACATCTCCTTGAACACTTTATCTTATTAAAAGCTGCTAATTAAATATGAGTTGATAGGGTTTGTGGCTTCATAATATAATTTCTACTGTTTTTCTTGACATGTGTTAAACTTTCCCATTAATTCCACCTGCAAGCTCTTCCGTAATTTCAATGCTCCCACAACTTTAGTACTTTTATCATGGCTACAAACATGATAGGAGCATCTTTATGTGACTTAGTTAGCTTGTTTTCTTAGATTTTCGTAGTTAGTTTGTGTTTATTATAGTGATTTAAGCTATTTTCGTGTGTTTGTAGGTCCAAATGACAAAGTTGGCAAGAAAATGCAATTTGGAGCATTTTGAGGCAATTTTGGCAATCAAATGGATAGCTTATGGGTGGGCAAGATAGATGGACGAATTTGAAGTTCAAGAGGCTAGGAATGTGCTGAAAAGATGAAGAAAATAAATCCAAGACAAAGAAGATAAGGAATCAGCTAAAAAGAAGGAACATTATCCAAGACCTTATCCAATCTTATCTTATCCTCTCCTAATCTAGTCTTATCCTATCTTATCTAAATCAGTTTATGCCTTAAATCTAGTTGCAGGAGAACCTAAATATCTGATTTCTAGAAGGCCTATCCTTTCCCTACATTTATGCCGCACCCTTATCCTTCTAGAACCTCTAAATTGGTGCTGAAACATCCTTTCTAGAAGTCCCTACAAATCTGGCGCCTCCCCCTCTTCTAGAAGCTCTAGAACCTACAACCCTAATCCTTTTCCCTCTTGAATTAGGCCAAATTTATCCCTTTCCTTGCAAGAATTTGTGCCACACCTTTCTAACCTAATCCCCTTTGGTTTTTGATTGTTTTAACCCATTCCACTTGGGTTTTGGTTACACAAACCTTGTCCCACTTTGATTTCAGAAACCTATCCTAATCCTTAGGGATTGTGCCGCACCTAGCCCTATAAATACATCATTATGCGCCTATTTTAGATTCACCAGCCTCTACCATCAAATCACCACACCATCCACCACAATTTCGTGCACCACACATACAAGAGCCAAAACATCAGAAAATACATACTTATGCGCAGATTTGCAAGGAAGGAAGGAGATGAGACCCTTGGAGTCGTGCCCTACCATTCAAGCTTGGATTGCTGGACGTTTCTAGGTGTATTCTATCCTTAGTTTTAGTTCAATGTTTGTTTTAATTTGGTGTTATATTTTCAAAGATATGAGGAACTAATTTCTTTTTAGTTAGAGGTGAATTCGAAGCCATGATTATATGCTTTATATGAATTGATTACATCTAGTTATTGTTTCTTGAGTCTTGAATGTGATTTGCTTATCTAAGTTATTAAAACTTGTTTATGTGTGTTAATTGAGGGTTGACACTTAATTTGCATGCATGAATATGATGCTAGAGTATAAGGGAGTTTCACCTAATCGTTATGAACTTATATTCACAAGTTGTGGAGGTTGCTAGTCACGATCGTGTTAAGTAAATCCTTGGCAGGAGTATCATGCTTTTCATAGTTACGAATGTCTCATCAATACTTATGATTTTCAAATAACTTAATGACCTTTGATATGTTTTCTATCATGCTTTTCATAGTTAGGGGACTTGAGATTGATAATTTGGTTGTAATGTGTATCCCGTCCAATTCAATGAAATAAGGAAAATCTGATGGTTAATTTGTGCTGTCACGGTTAACTTGGGGTGTTGTCATTCATGGTTTAAAGGAATAATAACTGGAAATTGGTTTGTTTGCATATGTCATGTGTGGAGAAGGACCCTCTAACTAGCCTATTTCACCCTTCAATTCACCTGATTTCATACCTAGTTTACTTTGTTTTGCAATCTGTTTAGTTTAGTTAAATTTCGTCCAAATCAATCCCCCTTTTAATTTAGTGATTTAGCGTCTTAGATTAGTTAGAAAAGTATTTAAATCTGTCCAATTTAGTGTTTTGAGTCCTACTAGTCTTAAATTCGTCCGAATAGTCCCTAGAGTCTGTTTTGAGTCTTTTTAACTTAGTTTAGCTGTTTTGAGTAGTTTGAGTCAGTTTTAAGTCTTAAGTGTCTAGTTTTGTGTTTTTGAGTCTAGTTGAGTGTTTCTAAGTCTAGTTTGGTATTTTTGAGTCATATGTGTGTTGATTAGCAGCCCTAGTTAATCCCTCGTCTAGAACGATCCCTACTTGCTTAATACTACAATTACATGTTTAATAGGGTTTAATTTGTGTATCAAGTTAATTTTCACATCAAAACGAATCATTGAAATGAGAATATGAGTTGAAGTGTACATTGCATAAAGTAAGTAGTAATTAAAATGTACATATGTAGACAAAAAGTAAGAAATGAAATAGTCGTATCAAATCAGATTGAATCCAAAAGCTCAATCAAGATAATATCAAATGTAAAATTCCTTATTATGATTTCGTTGCCATGTTGAGCTATATAAATTTGTTATTGTTACCAAAATCTAAAACAAATCAACCCATGTTCATAGAACGTGGTACATAATAACTCATTTATTGTATAATATGGGTCCCTTGTTCATTGGCAGAAAATATTAAATAGAAAACACAATTAACCCTTCTTTTGCATAATCTTTGATATGAGCTCTCAATTTGGATTAGAGAGGAAAGCATACAATTCTAAAAAGTGCTCTAAAACATTAACAACCAATCTAATATGAATTTCAAAAATCTCATGTAACAAACTTTATATTAATTGGAAAAACCTCCATAAATGAAACGGATGATGGAAGAAGGACAAATATAAAAGGGAGGTTTCCATTTTCCAAGTCTTAAAAGAGCAACATAATTAGCTGTTGTTGTGACAAAAATGTCCACGCCTTTAAAAATGATTACTAAATTTTTTTTCTCGATATACTAACAAAAACAAAGAATAACATATGCACACACATCCTTGAGAATAATGAACAACCTTTAGATAGTAATTTCATTAAAGACATAGGATAACATATTTCGTTTTTCGCACTTTACAAGAAGATCACATAAGGAAATATTTGTCTTCCTACATGCATTGCATAAGTGCCATAAAAAAATGACTTACAGAAAATGAAGATTGAGAATGGAGCCAAAAAAAAAAGATAAAACAACCAAAACAGAGAATGGAGCAATTATTTTCAAACTGCATACCAATTGATTGCCTGCAAGAATATTTCTGACCTCTCTCTATCTGCTTCCCTCTCCATGTATTTGTAGCAATTGATTGGACACCTTCCACAAAGAAACCACACATCATTAGCTGATTTTTTCAATGAAACAATTTGATTGATGCAAAAACCAAAATGGAATACCTTATAAAAATAAAATACCAATCAAACATTCAAGAGAAAGGAGACACGGAGAGGGAGAATTCCCGACTTTAGGAGTGTGCTTGAAATGTTGTAAAGCCTGAAACTGGTACAATTTAAAGTTTAAGTTCGCATGATTATATTTCTATACAATAGCATAAAAAATGGACTAAAGTGTAGAATATCAATTTCAATTTAATTATTAACCAAATCTCAATAACTATAAAAGTAAATCAAAGAAGAAAAAGCACATATCATGCCTATGCATGTACGTTTGCTTTTGCACATGAAAAATAAATACAAATGAAAAAGAATACACATATGAATAAAATTAGACATTTATAAATATTTACCATCCTGACCACTGTGAAAAATCTTCCTCGTAGCCGGAGTCATAAATTGCAAAACCATGCTTCTTCAAACATTTTTTTAACAATAATTAGGGGCTATGGTCATAAGAAAAATTAGAATGTTTGAAAGACATAAAAGTGAAGAATTACCTATTAGAACTGAAAAATTTGTGCAAAAGGTTTGAACATTACCCAATTAGATACTGAAAAAAGAGAAAGATGAGATGGAGTGTGAAGGTAAAATTAAGATCAACAACAGTTAACAAATTCCTCCCTTCAATCTTTGGGCAGTGTTCCTTGTTGGATTGTTTTTTCTGAGAGACAAATAAAACAAGAACTGTCACAGGCATTTGACATTTACCAAATCTCCTCATTTGCCTAGCATTTAGAAAGGAATTCATAAATAAAAACATAACTGACGTACATCTTACATCAGTAACGTGTGGGTTTTTTCAAATCTGGTTAAGCAAACTATGTCAGTCTTAATCTAATTAAACTATGTCAATCTTCTCGCAAGAAATAGGCATGGATGCAATGTAATTGTGTTTCCATGAATTTTAAACATGGTATAGCCTATGTCTGATTTCCTTGGAAGCCTGACCACCTTTGCCGGCTAAATCTCTGTCGTCAGCACAATCGTCGTCGGCGTAAGCCAGTCTGGGCTGTTTATTTAGAGGCATGTGTACGTCTTTGTGGTGGATCAACATCAACTGCTTCTCCAAGTCCCTTGTCTATGACAGAAAAGCGAAGTGGTAAGATTAAAAAGGAAAAAAAAAAAGAAAAAAAAAACTGTACATGCACAATTTTTTGCTGCAATTAAAGGATTGACAGAACAATTGGAAAAATCACAAAAAGAGAGAATGAAAAGTACATGTTAGAAGTGGGGTTAGACTCCTCCGTTGAAAAGTAAAAAAACAAATATTTGGAAATACATCCGAATTTAAGATCATACCCCAAAAAAAGGAAAAGAAGGTGAGAGATTTGATGATACATGCAATGTTTTTCTGGATTCATGATTTTCTTGACATGCGATTTGTTAATTTGTGTGGGAAAATTGACTAATTAAGGCAGAAGAGCCTTTTGGAGTTGTAGAAAACAACTCACCAAAAGAACATCTGTTACAATGAAGCAAAAGCAAAAATGGAGTTTTTGTGGTAGAGGCAGAGGATTACGGTGCTGAACTACCGATGGGTGAATGTTTGGGGTGGATGGAGAAGCAAATCTGTAAAGGTTGAAATTAAACATTCCAATCTCCTTTTCAGAACGTGGGTCATACATGGAGACGGCAATTTCCATCGTTAGATCCTTGTAACTGCCGTTTTCCTCATCCAGTCTTTTTTTTTTTTTTTTTAATTTATTAATATATCATGTTTGGGATCACTAATCTAAGGGGCCAAATTCATTGATGAAATTTATGATGAATCTGCGAGGGTGGGTGTGATTCATCCAACCAATAGTAACAATCTTTGCTGAGTGTGGGTAAACAGTATCCCTTAGGCAACCTTTTTCCAATCAGTGTTGTGTTTCATTTTTACTATTTTACCCCTATTATAAGCGGTTAGTTTTGAGTTATCTCTCTTATTAAATGAGGACATTTTTGGTATTTTCAAATGCTTCACCAAATTGGGGCCCTCACTTTATATATATAGATAAAACAAATTTTCCTCAGCCGAACATTTAAAGTTGTTCCCTTTCGTTGTTTACAAAGGTTATTTTTTGAAGTTTTTATCACTTTTGTGTTGTAAGAACACATAATTCTATGAGCTGAAGCAATAGTCTGGTTGCAGCTGAGGAGTGAGGGTCCAAGGAGGATGGAGAAAGTTAATCCATTACATAACAAAAAGCACCATACCAATCCCAAATCTTCTGCCGTTAACTTAAGGAAAGACTTTTTCCATTTAGTCCTTATTTTTATTGAATATAAAAAGAAGCAGCCTTTTCATCTATTTTCCATACCCTGTCCCCAAGGGGATGAACAAAAAGACAATAGGCAGGAAAGTGATGGGAAATGGGGATCTGGGTATTTCAGAAGGGGGGTGGGTGGTTAGGGAGGGAGAGAGTGGTGGAATGGTGGTTTAGCGGTGGAAACGAGAGTGGCCTTTGGACTGATGGTGAAGTTGTGAGATTTGGGAGTGGTGGTCATTAATGACAAAGGGTATATAAGTACTTTTATATTAAATTTTAGTTATTATTATCATAAATTTAAAAGGGTGGTTATCATTCTAAATAAGTTTTAAATTTCGTTATTCTTCCAAATTTTCCGTTTGAGAGAGAGCAGAACAAAATCATTAGGAACCCATGACGTGTCGTGTTTAATTTATTGTTTTTTTACTTTGATTTAGGTTAGTTTATTTTTAAATTAGGGTAATTCCAACTTTACTATCCTCAAGTATCTTGCTTTTAAAACTTTCATACATCAAATTTTCTTGTCCTATTGTCATACCTAAAGTGAGGATTAAAGGATATTTTTATACTTCTGTAGTCTTTCTGTCAAATTTTCTTGTTAATTGATGACGTGGCATGTCACCAAGCAATGACTGTTAAAAAACATGGCACATGCTGGGTTTGATTCCTGACACTAGTGAATTATACGGTGGTGGCTAGAGGAAGGCTGAAATGCCTTTATGAGTCTTTTCGGCCCTTGGAATAGTGGAATGCTGCGATGAAGCCACCAATTGGGCCCTATTTAAAAAAAATAAAATTAAACAAAAAACGCTTACCGAGATCTCTTTCGTCATCGCATCCTGCATCTCGAGGACGAGCTTCCTCCATGTTGGGGTGAAGACAGGGCACTTGGTGCGAATGATGACTCCCAAGTCATGAGTCAACATTCTATTGATTTCAAGGTTTGCTCGCCAATGTTGCGGGTCGTAAACGACCACGATCTTAGTTTGTGCTATGCTTGCAATCAAGTTCAAGGACAAGCCTGTACTTATCCCCTGCACTTTCACCTTCTTCAAACTCTCAGCGTCAGGCTATTTTCGATTGTGAAAACGTTGGGTCGTTCTGACCCGTCGTTGTGACACATCCCGACCTAAATTAGGGCATGCTAGCCGTCACGTGAGGGTGACATAGCCATGTGCATAGTGCGGAAACAATAGAGATATAAAGAATTACGAATAAACAAAAACCAAATCAATTAGAGTACTAGATAAGATAAGATGCTAGTGTAAGATTAAGTGTGAAATACACAACCAAAGCATAAACAGCCTAAGCACAGTCAAGCAGGACAAGTACTAATTATACAACACCCAAGGGTGATCCTATATTTATGATGTTTGGTCAGAACCACTGTCGAAATTCTAGTGAGCCACCAAAGCACTTCTACCTAAAACCTAGAGGGGCGCAAAACAGAAAGTGTGAGTGGGCAAAAACAAAGCTTTTCAAAATCATTTCATTTCTCAAAAGTTCTAACCTTTCGCCGTTTAACCTGTATAATTTCCCAGAAAATAATAATAATAATAATAAGCTATATCAGAAATCATACTCAAGATGAAAATCCATAGAAGTGTACCATGCCAAAGTATCTCAATGCAATGCTATAATTAATCCAGGCAAAATATATCAATGTCAAATATCACATCAGCCAAATCCTTCTAACTCAATCTGCACAGCTGAGTATATAGCTCATACCCAATCTCAATCATATCAAATCAAATCCTACACACGAGTTGAAACCACCTAAAGTGGTCTGTATGACAAGACTAGGTGTAAAATAAATATGCTCTAGTGCTACGATCACGTGAAGGTTGTGCGAATAATCGCGGGTCACCTACGAGTTGGAACCACCTAAAGTGATATGTACGACAAGCCTGTGCACCTAACTTGGATCCAAGGTGAGCATATGGTGCGGGAGGTGAACATCACATGAAGAACTGTGCCCTAACTCGGGGCGGGAGCACTAATATCGGGGTGCAGGTTTATGAGCTCTCAATACATCACATCATATCTCACATAACTGAAGCAATCTCCTATCTTTAATTTATTAACTTACCTGGCATTTACTAGTGCGTCCACAACACCAATCATAAATGTATGCAACTACTAATGCATAAAAAGATAGACAAATACTGTGCATGGCATTTCAAAACGTATATTCATTTAAATTCATTTTCTGGGAAAAATCTCTAGTATATAGGTATATACGGAAAACCAAAAGCCCACTCACTGATATATTGAAGGGTCGTAGCCCCCAAGCCTCGATTGATGGAGCTTGTCCTCCGTTAGGGAATATTCTGTTAAAAACTAGAATATTTCGTTAATTATACTTGACGGCGTCAGAATATTCCGTCAACTATGACGAAATATTCTTCTCCTTCTTCCTTGGTTCATCGGAGTCCGGCGCCGGTCACTGCTGCAATTGCCAGAAATTGGGAAAGTTTAAAACTTCAATATCTCACTCATTTTTCCACCAAAACTCACGAAATTTAAACCAAATTGAAGCTTAAGATGAGATGCACATATTCATACCACTTTGGGGGCCTAAAACCAACGGAAAGCCGTTTGAAAAACCTTCGATATTTTGGCCAAACTTGCAACTCGCTAAACTTGGGCTTCCCGACGTCCAAATCACTTCAAAATTACTCCATGAGCTTCGTGAAGATGTTTTAAGGCTCCCTATAACCTTAAAACTCCTTAAAAACTTCACGATTACGTTTGCATGAACAGTACCCATGATCGGAGTTCCTGGGTTCTTAGGTTTTCGAAGGATCCATGTTCAACTAAGGGTATGGATGAGTTCCTGAGCTCACCAGGAACACGAATATGGTCTCCAAAACCTCAATCCGTGAAGAAATTGTGAGAGTGTGTGTGTGGTCCACGAATATGAGTTCTTGAGCTCACCAGGAACAATGATGTATTGTACGGACAATGGAAGAAACTCGAGAGATGGAGGAGAGAGAAAGGTCAACAGGAGTTGGGTATGGGTGAGAGTGTGTGTGTGGTCCAAATTTGGGTTACTAACAACAACTAACCCCACTAACTTTAAGTTCCAAAAACTTAGGAACTAACTAAATTAGTTTAAAAACCAAACTCAAGCCACAACACCACATAATGTACTCGACGTCCAAAGGTAATTTAGTCATTTCACGCCATCAATAAAATAATTCGGGACGGGCTATGACAACCTATCCCCCTTAAGCAAAATTTTATCCTCAAAATTTCCTTACAATAATTATAATCCAGTAATAATCCTAAAACAACCTTGGATACATATCTCTCATCCGGTCATCTGTCTCCCAAGTGGTGATTCCTCCACAAAACTTTCACTAAGCGCACGATCTTATTTCTTAGAACTTTATCTTTCCAATCCAAAATAGTCATTGGCTCCTCATCATAAGTTAAATCTGGATTAATTTCTAGCGGTTGAGGAGGTATCACATAAGAAGGATATGAGATGTAATGACGAAGCATAGAGACATGAAAAATATCACGCACTTTTGATAACTTTGGAGGCAACTCAAGCCTGTAAGCAACCTCACCAACTCGCTCGGTGATCATATACGGTCCAATGTACATAGGACTCAGCTTGTCTTTCTTTCCAAACCATACTACACCTCTCCACGGTGATAGCTTTAGAAATACCCAATCACCTACATTATACACCTGGTCAGTGGCATGTCTATCTGCTAGACTCTTCTATCGATCTTGGGCCGCTTTCATGTTAAACTTAATCACCTGAACATTCTGTGTAGTCTCATCAATGATCTCAGGGCCCACCAAAATTCTTTCGCCAAGCTCTGACCAATATAAAGGTGTACGACAAGATTTGCCATAAAAAGCCTCAAATGGCGACATACCAATACTTGAATGAAAGCTGTTGTTGTAGGCAAATTCCATTAAATCCAACTGTTTATGCCAAGCGTCACCAAACTGCAATACTGAAGATCTCAACATATCTTCCAACGTCTAAATGGTCATATCTGATTGTCCATCTGTTTGAGGATGATATGTTGTACTATAAATTAATCTTGAACCAAGAGCTTCCTAGAATGCTGTCCAAAATTTAGAAGTAAATCTAGGATCACGATCGGAGATAATACTAACTGGAATCCCATGGTACTTCACGATCTTCGATACAAATAGTTCAACTAATCATCTTAGAGGATATTTCCCTTACAGGAATAAAATGTGCTGACTTAGTAAGCGGATCAACTATCACCCAAATGTCATCATAACCATTCTGTGTACAAGGAAGCTTGTACACAAAATCCATAGTAATATTTTCCCATTTCCATTATGGAATGGGAAGTGGCTGCATCAATCCAAAAGGTTTCTTTCTTTCTGCTTTGACT